TTGGCTCACTGACTCTTATTTATCTGCCAAGGACCTAGATTCGAATCAAGTTGATGAATACAATTATTCCTTGTTGCCAAGTATTTTAAAATTAAACTGGATTGTACGGGGTACTGTTACAGAATAATACTTTGAATTGCTTCGACTAATTACAATTGTAGTTTAGTGCTGCTGTGATTAAATAAAGGCGAGGAATTGGTTTTTTAATTTGTTTAAAGCAATGTAAGAAATGTTTGGAAAAGGTTTTTTCTATTTTAATTGAATTACGTAAAATTGAAGAATGTTACATCGATTTATTTTTGGTGTAATGAATAGAAAAACATCTATCATATGGCTAATAAATAAATGTTTACAAGAGCACGTTCATGTTAATTGTAATTATTTTAAAAACCATCGAATGTTATGTAATAATATTTTCGTTTACGAGGGATCCGTTTGTATTGAAAATACAATAAAGTTAAATTTTTTGTTGAATTATCACGAGCTTTACATACATTTTTACTTGACTGCTTTTTGATTCATCTATATTTTATTAGCTTTGATTTTTTAACAATGGTGAAATAGATTATAAATTTTTGTAAGCATTTAAAAGACTATTTTGTACCATTTTCAAATAAAAGAAACAAAATTATTTAAAACTAAAACGAGGTGTACGTTTTCGACTAGTATCGAATTTAGTGTAAAGTTATGTGTAACATAAAACTTATACAAAATTTCATAGAAATCTTCAAATGCAATAAATTGGATTCCATTTATTTTCTTGCATATCTAACATTTTCTAACTTTGAACACTTTGCAGTGTCGTCCATATGTTACTATCCGATGAATCAAATGTGATTTAGTACATAGAATATCTTGATTTAATAAAACTATAGATTTTGAAATTCGAATACGAATGTCTAGTTGTAAATTACATAATATTTTATTACCATTTTAAACGAACTTGTATATTACGATATGGTGGTAACGTGTTAAGAGTATTATTTCATGTCCATTGTGTTAATATATTTAATTAGTCTCCAAAATTAAGCTCCAATACAGTTAAAATTAATTCTGTTACAAGCTCGTCATAAACGATGATTTCCCGAACATCATCCATCCATCCATTTCATTTCACAAAAACAAATAAACAAGCTGAAAAATATTAACGAGCTTATCAATCAATTTGTAATGAAATTTCCGCGTTACCTACGCCTCCCGTCTGTCGGAAGAGGTAATATTCTTCATCAATTAATTTCCCGTTTAATATTGTGATGAGTCATGGAATAAAAGTCGACCCGCGTCACACGAGTGCTGTATACGATGCTTTTACAATTTGACGGATGCTTTGCAACAAAAACATGGGACGGAATTGAAAAGGTGCGAATTTGTATCTTGCTTGTTGGGCTCACGTTAGGAAAAATGAGGTTTTAAAACTGTTTTTAGTATTTGTTTTTTAATAACTGTATCGTATACGAGATATCACCTTACATATATATCACAATTTAGTACAAATACAACCCCAACCATTTGCGTACATTAGCATCCGGTTAACATCCAAACTAATCCGAATACGTCTTAAACAGTTTCACCTCGCTCCGTCATCTCTCGACACGATTTCCATAAACCAGGTAAGACATCTCGGAAACTAATCTTGACCCGATTCTGCGAAGTTATTTCAAATTGTAACTAACTAATTTCCATTTACGAGTCGTCCTAATTAAAACGGATAGCCTTTAGGGACATGCCAGCTGAAACTACGGCGTACGGAACCTTGAGGGCTACCTTCGAATCAATTCTAATAATCGTACCTTGTTAGAAATTTCCTAATTGTAAGGGACGTTGAAAATTAATGCTGTTGTGGGAATTAAATGGTTGTTCTTTAGTTCTTTGTTGGGGGTTTTTCTGTTCGGAATCTATTGGAGTTGTTGTGTTCAACAGCTGAGGATGCGGTTGCTAATTTATTGCTGCATTCTTTGAAGGGATGATCTTTAAATAAATATAAATAAAATTTAAAATGAATTGTACCAATTTAACAACATTGATAAAGAAATAGGTGTTATACCTAAGTTGTACCAAGCAAACAAGTTTGTTACTTTTCCGAATATTTATTAGGCGTGTAACGTATTAGACGTTAGTCTTCAATAAAAACAACCTTTTCTACAATTCAACCTATCGCTACATAAGCAACATAATGTCAATCACACAGTCTGTCAGCAACATATTGTAAAAACACAACACGTGTTAGATTATTTGATCTCTAAACATTAGTCAGTAATAAGAAAATACTATATCTATTATTGAAACGAACCGAAAAAAACACATTGACAATCATTACAAAAAATAGCCTGGGTATGAGTCAATATTAATTACATTATTAGGTGGAATTATACAGAAATAGCCGGTCTATTTGGGGCAGTGAGCCAGTCAACCATGTTGATTCTGTTTGCAGTCGACAATGGAACGGCAAAGTTTATCTTTCAATTGTTTACAGGTGTTATAAACACCTGTTTACGATAGAAACACAACTTGTTGGTCTCACCCAACGAAATGTAGGGTGAAGTCTGCTCCCATTGTTGGCAATTTCAGATTTACAACTTTGTTGGGCAATGGGTGTATTTAGAAGGTTTGTTCTCAATGAGAAAAGTGATTTTAATAGCACCTTCCTAATTGTTATCGGTGGGCAGGGTTAAATTACTTAGGTGTAATATTCTTAAACTTTAAGATGGAAAATTTAAACATTAATTATTATGTTTTCGGCCTACTCACGTAAAAATTTGACAAGATATTCGACTAGTTTCAAGCTATGTTAGAGGCCCATATTCATGAGCAGCATTCCGCGGCACGCGATGCGGCGACTGTCGCGTCGCGTGTAGCAGTCTAGTCGAGTATCTCGTCAAATTATTACGTGAGTTAGCCGAAAACATAATAATTAATTTAGAATGTCTCACGAAAGTAATAATTTAAACATTGTTTGTAGATTTCACATTGCATTAAATTTGTAATAGTTACCTTAGATATTTTTTTCAAACTTTTCTCTACATATTTATAACAAAAACAACAGTGGCGATACAAAATCACAGCATTCATCTATATTTTCTTCGAAGCTCAGACAAAAACGCAACTCGGCAACATTCCCGCATCCCTTTCGACGCTGAGCGAAGCGATTACGCACTTTCATCCAAACAAGCTTACTCAGAGTTAAAAGCCAATTTATCAGAGCGTCTCAAATTGTGCATTATCATTTATACTCGTCCCTTGCACTAGTGTGCGTTGAAAACCTCCCTTGCGTGTGTAGCGCTCACGTTGGAATATGTATTTTACTTTAAAAGTGTGAGTGTCAGTGTGTGTGTATGCATGTGTCTGGATGAGTTGATGTATGAGTGTAGAATAATGTTAATGTTCACGTCGTGTGATGTGGTCGGGTACATTACACGTGAAATGTATCGATGTTGTGTTCACTAGGTGCGTTTAATGGCTTCTCATCAAATTAGAATATTGAAGCGATGTCTTTTGGGTTTTCGGAGATTTATTGCCAATTTATTGTAGAAATATGCACAAAGATTTTAAGAATGCTTAGGTTATTATAGACTATATTCACAATATGTGTCAACTTCGTCGAAATACATATGTTCTAGCTGTTCTAATTATACTAGTAGGTACTACATAAATGTTTGTGCTGGTAGTGTTTACAATTACTTGAGAGTGGAACTAATATCTCGATTACTGGAGCAGATATTGCTTGAGCTGTTCCAATATATTCATTAACATTTACCCTAAATAGACTAGGCTACAAATAGCTACTAATACAGCTAAGTTTATATGCCTACTTCCGAAATAATTAAGAAGTTATATTAGGTTTGTATTGCTACAGGCGGTTGTTTTTGATTTAAAGTTTCGCACGAATGGTCACGAGTTTCAAATAAATGTCTTGAATTACCAACCTTCTTGGTTATAAATAGAATAACTTGCTATTTTCGAAAACTGATTTTCCGAATCACTAACGATAGGTGTAATTTGAAAGAAGGTTTTTAGCTATAAGCAAGGAAATGTAAATCTCGTTTAATGTTTGTATGATAACTACACAACGGATTAAGATCAAGAAAGCTTGCAAATACAAATACAGCAAAGATCAAGTAATCAATAAAAATGAGTTAGTAGGAAAAGAACATGGTTGATAAGAGAGCTACGTGTGTTGTTTGATCACGTTCCGATCGAATGCGCGAAAACTTTCAAAAGGAAGAAACATCGGTTTCAAGGACGAGGGCCACTTGTCACCGCACCCGTGGGGGCACAGAAATATTATTTGTCTTTGTAACGGTTCCGCCGATCTATATCTGTGTGATTTTTATCAAAACAGTGTTTTTTGAGGGTCGGGTTTATTTTGATTGGCTCGTATTTCATATTTTTATACTTGGCTTCGGTCATGTGTTAGTTGGATTTATATGTACGTTTATGTAGGTATTTTATAAATTCTAAATTATAATGGCAAATTGAAAGTGTAGGAAAGCTATGCTTCGGCACGAATGTGTCAAATCGACGGGCTTCACAGAAAACTGGCGTGATACAACCACAGCGTTGTGTTTCGCCGTGTGCGTGAGGTCCAATTGTTATTCCTCACCTCAATCTCTTAATATCCGAAACCTTTATCCCCAAAAGGCCGGCAACGCACTTGTTACTCTTCTGATTCGGGTGTCTCTGGGCGGCTTGCTGGAGCTTACCATTAGGTAATCCGTATAGGTACTCGTTTGCCATTCTGAAACAGAAAAAAATCTCTATGAATATCGGCAAGATGAGTGAGCTAAATTAGCTAGCTAATTGAAAATTGAAAGAATCTGTAAAATATTATTTAGATCTTATCATCAACCACTGTCGACATGGCATTCATCAGTTTTTCGGTCTTCAATCCTCATATTTTGCATCTACAACATCTTAGAACTTACGCAAATCAATTTAAAATAAGTACATATTTAACTGCACGATTGGCACGGTGGCTGGGCAACTGGCTGCCATGAAGTGCCATGCAACGTGTCGCGGGTTCGATTCCCGCACGGAACAACAGTTTGTGTGATCCACAAATTGTTGTTTCTGGTCTGGGTGTGATGTGCATGTGAAATTGTATGTTTGTAAACGCACCCACAACACAGGAGAAAATCCTACATTGGGGCAACGTTTTTTTTAAATGTAAAATATGTAAATGTAATGTATAAGTGTGTTCATAGGATTCTTAACCTAAATGAAGAGTGGAAAGATGCTATGTCTCAGTATGTTTATGAAAACGTGGATGGTGTTACGTATTACGAATTTTCCTAGTAGTTACATGAGAGTAGCTAATGTGGATTGGCGCTGAGCACTTACCGATTATCTCTTGTAAGCTGTATTACATGAATATTTTCTGGAGACAAAAAGTAACTGAAGTAATTACTAACTAAAAGCAAGTTCTCACGTGAACCCTACTTAATAATGTAACGAAGAATCTGATTGAAAAAGAATATCCGTGGAATTTTTCGCTTCTCTTCTTTATATGAATCTACATATTATTGGATGAAGCAAATAGCGTCATTCGCGGACCAAATAACTAAATAAAACATTTTATCTTTAAATCAAAGATTTCTAATTGAAATAAAATATTTAACTTTGACTTTTAGCTATATATTAAAAAATGTTTGAGTTATTTTTCGTGTAAAAACACGTGTACAATTATATGAATACATCATAATTGGTTGCTTTCATTCCTTCCCAGTTTTAAGTTAAGTACTTCCAAAATTAAGTGTGGGCGGTACTACCTGCCACGTACCAACGAGGGATACAGGGTGATATTATTTTAGGCTGAAACATGTTTTATTTGAATAAAGTAATTCTGTATTAATGTGGGGATTCCCTGATTTAAGTACAAATCACGGACCCAGGCTTCATTTAAATATAAAAATAGGAACGTTTGTAGCGGTTCCTCTAACTCGCGACCATTTGTTTTACCGTTCCGCAAGAATACTAGGAAAAGGGCTTTATTTATTCGAGTCCATAATTATAACGAATTTTTAAAAATACACGTCCGCGATACTTTTATATACAGATGTTTTAAATATGATGATGTATATTTACGCAATTAAATCCAAATTCATTGATCAAAATATTTCAAAGTGTGTGGAAATATCCGAAATATAAATTGTTTTTTTTTTACTTTGTTAAAGGCCAGATACCTAACTTATTGGATAATACTTTCGAATAAGTTCTGATTAGAAAATATAGAAAATTTCCTTTCTCTTGTCTGTGATACAAACCATATTTTTAAAAGAACACTCAAGTTACTTAAGATTTTTTTCTAGAGTATGGTTAAGAAAACTTTTTCTAAAAAAATATATAGAGTTGTATTTTTAGCTCCCTAAGGATTTGGGTAAAAAGGGGTTAGCCATTTGTGCCGGGGTCATGATTGACTTGTAATAGTCTGAAAAGCTGACCCAAATAGAGATGTGACAGACAAGCTTATTCCAACATTGTTATATAGACAAAGAAAACAAATGAATATTTATATTGGGAGTTGAATATAATTTTATGTACGATGATGCGTGTATGTGGAAATTTACAAAATTGTACCAAAGTACTTTTTCTCATATTGACTATCTACCTTAAAAGTAAAAATAAACACCCTATATATAATTATTATCTAACAACTACTAGGAAAATGTAACATCAGACTTAGAACTGACTTTGTCAGGATTAATCATCAAAAATGATTGTCGATTAAATATTATGAAAACAGTATCGATAAAGGTCTTAAGTACGAGTACTAATAATTTCACAAGACAAACACACAGTATCAATGAGTATCTGTTGTGTAGGCAATCCAAGAATAATAAACATTACATTTTCAAACATTTAATCAAAACTTCACTTACATTTAAAACAACACGCTGTATATACAAAGGACCGTAACTCCATACAATCGCACCTAGGACTGGCCTTGCTAAGTAAAGTCGAAAGTTTTCCTACACCCTGTGAATTAGTTCTGATTAAATTCGTTGGACCCTACCCACGTTTATGTGAGGGAATTATGCTATATATGTAGTTATGTGCTGCTATATATGTAGTTATGTATAGTCCTGGCCGGTATTAGGGAATAGGAATTGTAGCAAGTTAGGTTAGTTTTGAAGGGTCACGCCGCTAGTTTCGGGTTACCTACCTGCCGTATTTCAGTTATTTAACTGGTTAACTAGATGAGGAATTTATTTTCGTAATCAGCCCCTAATATTTACGTTCAATCTTTATGACATTGGTTATGTATGTAGGTACATGTACAGTCTATTTCTAGTTCCATTTTCAAACGTATTTTGGCTCCAATTAAATTCATTATTGGCTTTTTCCAGGAAATGTTATTTGTGTAGATGAGACAAGTAGGTGTACGTAATGATATATAAATATGTTTTCTATTTCAAGATACTTAATTTTAAATTGTAATTACGTGTCTAAATTGTCGACTTATTAATGTAAGATGTGATCAATTAAGGAAGGAAAAAAAGAGGAAGAAAATTTTAAAGGCTTATTATAAAAGCTTGATTAATACTTCACAATAAAGGGGCCACTTTGTACTAAAACAAATTAGCCGTAAATAGGCCATCACAAAACTGCCATTTAAATGATAAACTAAAGCACCTGAACGGGTACACAAAAGGCTGCCGCCTAACTCCAGCCTAGTAAATCCCGCTGCTAGTGAAAAATTACACGTATTTAGTAGACCGTTCCTATTTTAGTGAAGTTGTTGCTACAACCGGTTTAGTAAGCCAGGATTACTGGTTGAATAATGTCCACGGATTTAATGTGAATAATGAAGTACTTCGCTAGTTATAATTAAATTTCTTGCTTAGACTAACACTGTAATTATGTACAAGATGTGACGGGGCTGAATATTATTAATTAATATTGTTACTTCTTTGTATACTTTTGATTTAGAGATATTTTTCTTGGTAGGTATTTGTGATTATTTTTGAAGGAACCGAATTATGATTTGACATTGAATAAAGAACCTAATGTGCTAAGGAACAGAGCAAAAAGTTGAACAACCACACAAAAATATAGTTGTATGTAGGTGACAATAACCATTATAAAATATACAAATTAAAACACCGACCAAATAACAATCAGTAAACAAATATTATAAACCCATCAAAAATCGAATAGAAAATTTGTCCCGAGTGTATGTCTCTACCAGTTACGAGCCGTCCAATGTTTTGTACCTTTACCTTCGTTCTGTGGGACTGTCCCGGCGGACGGTCCCGGCGGGCAGCTTCCGTCATAACTGTATCTACAAGTTCCCTCCCGCGAGACGTTTGCCAACAGACATTTTGTTTTTACTCTACTGTCGAACTTATTATAAATTAATGTAGTACCGCGATGTTTTGTTATAAACGGAAAATAAAATATTGACAGTTCCTGGCAAGGGTTCTATTGTTTTATTTATTTTTCTTCTTCAGTTTATTTTTGGATGAGTGATAGCTGAATATTAACATTTATAAAAGTTATGTAAAAAAAAATATCATTTTACTTGGAATTCAAATTGTATAATAGTCAATATTCTTACCTTTTAAACTTAGACGTCTTGGTGATCTAAGGATACCTATGACGGCTACCTACGCCAGTAGATAGTTCATAATCACTACCTCTACTACAACTATGTACATTTATAATTTTATACTAAAAAAATAATTGTTTTCTTGTTACAGATCTGCCACGGTTCGTAGGAGCAGGCTCCAACGTCACTGTGGCAGTCGGCAGAGATGCAGCGCTCACCTGTAGAGTTGATAATTTACAATCATTTAAGGTAATCATAAATCATTTTTGCCATAATTATTAAAACTGCCTCCGTTCACGTCCGGGGAACTGCATCCAGTATTTGATTTGAATCAATACACAACTATCAACCTGTTATAACATGAAAGACATACAATCTAGATTCTTCCATTAAAGAAGAATAAAATAACTCAGTAGATAGAACACAAAATCAGAACCCTAACAACAACAAATAAAACGAAATAAGAAATACGAGTACAAGTAGGTCCTCGCAAGCGTCCATTAGTTTCTCGCTCACTTACCTCCTTATCATCCGTCTGGTCGCAGAGATATGTTCCAGTGCCCACTGGAGCTTAGAAAAGTGTTCCGCGTTCCGCCTCGCAGGCCAAGCTATTATAGGCGTAGGACAATTTTCTGGGCCTTTCTGCTTTCTTGAAACCGGAGTTAGGTCTTGAGGCTTTTTTGATTACTTCATTATTTTTAGTAAGTGTATGTATAACTTGAGATCGAATGTCATTGAGACAAATTGTGTTTCTTTTTCTTTTTATCTTCCCCTCTTTTCTAGTGTTGTAGTGTTAAACGTTTGGCAGGCAGGTTAAGCATGGCTTAATCAATTGGTTGAGAAAACTAAATAAAAAATCTTATTCAGTGGTTAAGAATCATGGATATGACTCGAACCATTACAATGCAAATATTAACATCTCTTTTAAATCAATAATATCTATGTCAATATTTTTATCATAATTTAATTTAGAAAATCGTCCGTGTAATGTTGACTCAACGCTATCTTTTAATTATTTTTCCTATGATTTCTTTATCAAGAGCACTTCGTATGAATAAGTCCCATTGCTGAATCAGTAAGGGTCGCCTAAACCTCACAATTAGTGGTACAAGCCTTTTCGCTATCTAAATTACTTCTCGTGTTTTTTCCACCATGGTTATGTTGGTAGACTTATCCGCTCCATGGTTGCAAAATTTCTGTCTTTTTTCTTAAGATATTTTTTAAAATTTCTTAAAATAGCAGTCGTTGAATATGCGTCTATTGATTGAAATAACAACAAGAAAGTAGATTGTTATTTTATCATTAAATATATCTTTAAGAGCTCATTATTTCTTCAAGAGCCTCTTCTCGCATGGAAAAGATTTAGAAAGCATCAATCACCACGCTTGGTCAAGGTTGGCGATTTCAAACTTATAATGAAGAATCATAAGCCCCGATTTTCTCACGATTTGAGTTTTATTTCACCGTATACCTCCTCCTCCTCCTTGCGTCGGTTTCCTTAGCGCTGAGGGTCTTCACCACCTCGTGGAAGCAGTGTACACCGCATATCAGTGATGTTAAAATAATTTTACAAAGTTCATATAACTCGAAAAATGACACATTTCTATCTTCCCACTTTAGAACAATACGCACGAGAAGCGGGCGCGTTATCCTAAAACCCACTACAAAGTTACTGGTTTTATGTCTTTTTCTGTATTATAATAAATGTTATTCCTTTAACGTATGAAGCGAACTATTTCGCTATGAGGTAAAAAAAATGTAAGATATAAATACGTACACGTGTTCTTCTGTTCTCTAAGTAAAATAAGCTTTAAATACATTTACCATTGCCAATAGACCCCCCGCGAGTAATAATTACACAACCGTAAAACATCAAAACTTATCCAAACGCTCGTCTCTTTGTTTTGTTTCTTAATTACAAAATTCTTTAGTTCCAAACTTCAGATACTTTAATATTTCATGGACAAACTTTCCCTGTTCAGAGGTGTTGTTGAACTTTCTTCGAATCGACTAATTTTATTAATATTTAATTAGTGACGCTAAATTTTTGTACCTCCTTCATTTCAATTTTCTACTTAGAAAAGTTAAAACATTATTATTATTCTTTCATTTTTAGATTTGTCACAAAGAACGGGGGTGAGGAACGTCTCGTCCGTTCCGACTTTTGACAGCTTTAACTTGATCAATTTCTTTAATGTTTCAGATAAAAACGTTCGGGACGTTTTTTGTTATTATTTCTGTTAAGAATGTCTTTGAGGAAAATATAAATGCCACGTTTCCTCTTCCCAGCATCTTTGATTCTTATACTTAATTTTTATATTTTGTATCAAATACATTTTGTGTCGGTGACACTGAATTTATTCGTTCTTTGCTTACACATTACTTTGTTGATTTACGTATTTCTGCTCTAATGGTCATGATATTTATTACGTATTGAATCTAATTACCCATGTGAACAAAATTAATGTAAACAGAGTACATACTGCGTAATATCTTCAAAGAAAAACTCTCTGACAGTGAATACCATCTCCTGGCAATTTCTCTTATTCATCTAGCATACTAATAAATCTAATTCAACCAGGTGGCGTGGCTCCGAGTAGACACGCAGACTATTCTTACAATAGCTGCTCACGTCATCACCAAGAACCACCGCGTCAGCGTCAGCCACGGAGACGGAGCCTGGACCCTCACTCTCAAAGAGATCGGTCCATCTGACGGCGGCAGATACATGTGTCAGGTCAACACAGAGCCAATGATGAGCCAGACACATCAACTTCAGGTTGTAGGTAAGATATCGACTGATGTGAGTAATGTATCAAGAGCCTTATTTACAGAGGGGAACTATGTACTAAAATTTTTTGGTAAAAACACAATGCAGGTTAAGCTACTTTTCATAGATTGTCGACTATGTTGCCAAGTAATAAAGATTAAAACCGGTTGAAGTTTAACAAATTGGGATAGTGGAATGTTCTGGTGTTGTACAGTATCAATACCAACAATAAGTTACCAACTTTTAGCTGTCCAAACACACTTACTATGTTTGAATGTACACACATTCAAACAGAGTTTAAGAGAAATCAATTAAGGACTCGACGAATAACTTAAGGGCTTTCAAAAGCAGACTCACTGAGTATTCAAATATTTACTACCTCCACGTTTATCTCTCGGCAACACAGATCAATTAAGTAGTAAACATTAATCGCAGCCTGATACAATATTTAGAGCTGCGGGCTCTGAGTAATGATATATTATTATTGGGATATAAGGGAGGACCTTATCCCTAATTCAATATTAATTCCGGAGAAACAATATTATTATAAACGTGTTAGTATTACTGTTAATGATTTTGTTGTATGAATCTTTTATTGGATTCTAGTTTTTATGTGCCTATGATATATATACGATGCCTGGATCATCACAACGATATAAATAATAAGACAATGTTACACAATGGCTGTAACTGGTGGTAGAGCAATTTGGCTACCGCGCAACGTGTCGTGGGTCCGATTCCCGCGCGGAATAATTCTTGTGCTTGCCACTAATTGTTATTTTGAATCTGGGTGTGATGTGTACTTTTGTAAAAGCTCCTACAATACAGAAGAAAATCCTAGTGTGGTAAAATCTTAGAGTAGGAATATTCCTATCAATATCGGCAAACAAATATAAACTCTATTTTTATGTGCATTGTTAATTTTTATTTAATTTCAACAGTTCCACCTGACATCGATGATGACGCGAGTAGTAGTGAAGTGCTAGTCAAAGAAGGAGATAACGCAGCACTGAGGTGTGTCGCCTCGGGCACTCCGCCGCCCAACATAGCTTGGAGGAGAGAAGACTCCAGGCACTTTAAGATCAACAACCAAACCCTAGGTAAAAGTTGCTCTATTTAAATTTCACAGGTATTAACTACCATCCTCTTAGCTCCTTTGTACTCCTGTGGTAATTATTCTGGGAAATAACCAGCGCAGTGTTGTATCATCAAAATAATCACAACATTTCTTCTTCCAACTAATAATTTGAATAAAATTCTCGTTAAAGGACAATTTTGGGAATGTAAAATGCCCTCTGTAATTTCGGGTGCAAATAAAAGCGAACAAAAACTAATTTTAGTTTTCTGGTTCGCCTTCCGTCGGAGTTTCGTTTTTCAATTACCACATCGTTACGCCCCCGCGTCGTCGTCAGAAACAACTGTTGACCGTAAAAATAATTGGGGGAGCGGCAATTCTGAAGAAAACATCCCGACAATGTGCAGATTTTAGAGAACAGGTACGAGTACAAACAACATCGTATGCATAAACGGAGCAGTAAAAGCAAAATTTGCAGACCCCTTAATTCCGTTCAAACAACAAGTACAAACAATTGTTTTATATCAAGTTGAAGCCAGGAATAACCTTTATCTGGTATTCACACTACCGCACAGAGGACCGCGAACATTATAAAGCGGCAGTGTGCAAAAACTGTCACAGTATGCACACAGCCAGTCACCACCAGAACTAACTGTTATACAAAGGGAAAGTTTCGCGTCCGCGGCTATAAATTCAATGTAAGCTCTCTTATTTGCATTGTGTGCTCAAACGAACGTTGTTATAAAATTGTGCTGAGTATCGCTCGGCCTGTGGCAACGCCAACTTTACCAACTTCCAAATGAATTCCTAACTCATTATAGTCTCGAGTTAAATTTGCGTCTATGCTCAGTAAGTACTAATTCACTTTCTTGTTTAAAGTTCTAAACATTCGAATTTGTTCCAACAACTTGTTTATAAATAGTAAGAGGCTTTAGAGTTCAAAATGGCAAGCAACCTTCAAATACCTTTCCATTGTGAATGTTATGTCAAAAAGACAAAGTAAACAAAGGAAAGGGAAGTATATCAAATATACCTTGTGCTAATACTGATGTATTTACCAGGAAATTACTTTCTACAAATAAGATAAGACAATGCTTCCTATCGGCAGATCAATGATCACATCGCGAGGATAGAAGGAAGATGTAGTACCGCCGGCTCACTAGGCTTAGGGGCTCACCCTTTGTTATAACTCGACACAAACAAACTTATTTGAGGAGACATTTATAATAGAATAAACATTCAATATAAAAATATAACTCCTTGAACCACTAAAAAGAATCAATGAAAGAATTTTCAAATAAGTCTTTGTAAATTAAGCAATATTTTCCTCACAGTCGCTGCTCCAATTTCGCTCAATCTTATTTTTAACCAGATAAAACTTTAACAAAACGATTTTTCAGTCATTAAATCTCAATTTGTATATTGTAATACAATTTTAAATCGAAGGGTAGATTTTATCAGTGAGTTAACAAATGTTTATATTTTGTTCGGTTCTTCACTTAAGAGTTTTATTATCAGAGAGTTGAGGTTAGAAAAAAAATGGCTGCCATCTTATCTTTTAATACACATACACATATGCATCGCCAACAAAACAAACATCGGGCTACCATTCGGATATCGAAATTGAAATGTAGTAACCTAATCACGGAAGACCGAACCAAACCTCACCCGAGAATATTCAATCTTGCATTGGTAAGATTGATTTCCAAGTTAGGCAGTAGCTTACTATATTACCACCACATCGAATCTACTGCGAGCAAGTACGCTGATCGATGCTTATCCCTTTTTCTTAAGAGAAGAATTATTTACTTAACGTAGGAAAGTATTGTATACCTTACCATCATTAAAACAAAGTTGCTTTCTCTATCCCTATGTCCCTGTGTATGCTTAAATATATAAAACTACACAACGAATTTTGATGCAATTTCTTTTATTTATTGATAGAGTGATTAAAGGGAAAGGTTTATATGTATTTTAATTCTATTACATTGTCGAGAAATTTAGTATCAGCATTGCTTTCTTGTGAAGCTGGGGTGGGTCGTTAGTTAAATATAAACTAGTTTTGCGCGTCGTGTAATTTTCGCGAACGAAAAAATCTCATACTTAGTTCACCTTATCAGCTCCAATCATCATACGTGTGAGCACATTATCAACGTGGCGTAATTACTTCATTAAATATGTTATTTCATAGTATATTTTGTTTACAGTATCCAAGTGGACGGGCCAATGGTTGAATTTGACAGGCGTCGAACGCGTGCTGTCAGGCGCCTACCTGTGCATCGCCACGAATGGAGTACCTCCTTCAGTCAGCAAGAGAATCCTGATTAATGTGATATGTGAGTCTCGACCGAAATTAATTACATCATTTATAACCGCCGCAATTAAGACTAGCCCTGAAGCTGTCACTGCGAGGCCGCTGTAAGATGACGCGCTCCATCCTGTCTTGGATTATGTTGAATAATGAGTTTTTATTCGCTGCGTAGGAAGATCTTCTGAATTGAGAACAATCATCTCGCTTTCGCTTCGTAATCGGTAATTGATAAATTAATCAAATAAACGTAAGTACAAAATGCCTTCAACAAGTTTTAATACAAAATTAGTACCCATATTTTTTATAAGAATCCATTAAAGTCGATCGTAAGTTTAAACTTTGGTCAAAATTCCCGTCCGCGGTTCAATGTTCATTAGTAACGAAAACTTCGAGATAGGTACACGACTACTTCTTACAAACGAATTCCAAGGGAGATTGAGTTTAAAATTATTTTACCAATTTCGGATAATAGTTCCTTCATTATCTAAACATGATGCTTAATTAATATTAGCAAAAATTCACAAAATTACTATACTTTTACAAAATAGACGTTTTGTAATTTAGTCCATAACATAAAAAATAGGAGAAAAAGAAAAAAAAACTTCTTAAGTATTGCTCTGAAAATGTTTTAGCTAGTCTTAGTAATTAGATTACAAAATTTTTTATATTTTTTAGTCTTAGTCTTAGGTATAAGACGGGAACTCTTAATTGGAGTACTTCTTGGAAGGGTTCATTATACCATTTTTAATGTAAATTAAAATATTCTAGACTTTTTCATGGGATAGGATGGTAACAAGAATTGGGATCAACTAATGGCATGTTAGCAAAAGACGTTGACTATGGACATTGATCCAGCACCAGAGAAGTTACTATTTCGTTGCTGTTCTTTAGAAAGAATGAGGAGGAGGATTTGGTCTTGGGTGACTTAACTGACATGGCGAAAACTACGCACCAATCTATATCTATACTAATATTATAAATGCGAAAGTAATTCTGTCTGACTGACTGTGTTTTCTTCACGCCTAAACTACTGAACTGATTTCTGTGAAATTTGGTAATAAATCTGCAGGAAGTCACTATTCCACGCGAACGGAGTCGGGGGCAATAGCTAATTATCTATAAGGCCACAGAATCACTCTTATGGACTCGGCCAAGTGATAGAAATGGTTGTTCCGAGTTTAAAAAAAATGTTTAATAACCCTTTTTATTTGTAGTTGCACCGTCAGTGTGGGCAGGGAGGGTCGCGATACGAGCTCCATCTGGTGGCTCTGTCACTCTCCAATGCACTGCTGAAGCGTATCCAGTTCCTCAAGTCCACTGGACCTTGAACGGAGAACAGCGGCTTGTAAATGGTAAGTCTTGAAGAACTTGATATACACAATTATACCTGTAAACATAGAGAATACAAGTTCCAGTTTTTTCTTAATGTTTCTTTAATTTCCAGTTTTCATTTTTTCTTCAAGTTCCAGTTTTTTCTTCATTTTTAGTTCATTTCGAAGATCTTAATATGTATCATATTTAATTTCTTATAATCTGACTAATCAAATTATTCACGATGACGATTTTATATGACATTTTTAATTACTTATTTAAGTAATTTCAAATATCTAAAGAGTTCATCACGATGTACTAATCTATAAATAATTTTATTTAAAAAAAAGTAGTGAGCACTGTCATATTTAAATAATGAAATTAAAAACCCTCCACTGCTACAAAACAAGTAATATTTAAAATGTCTTTGACTACTTTTTAAACTATGGAAATAATGTTCTACCTCGCAAGTAAGCATAAAAAAACTTATTTCACGCTACACAAGAAACCCGCTAACCTTTCCTTCACCCGAGGGAAAACTTTATTTCCCCACAATTATATAAAACTTTAAACAAATTGCTAACCTGAAAGCATTAAACAGTAGCAAAGAAAATAAAAAGTTTATTAATAAAAACAATAGAAAATGACTTTCTATGTAATTGCTATGTTTTGTTCTAGTTCACAGTGTAATCACTTTAGTTTGTGCCAAGAAAGGTTTACAATTATGTATTTTTAATTAGATTGCTATGCCAAGCAAAACTTGTGCTGGAATTATTTGATTATGAAACCGATGGTTGATAAAATATAAATTAAAGAAAATAAAAAAATAATTTCTCATTTTATCATACGATTTTTTTTAATAAAAAGTATCTAACTCTAAGTACTTTTCATTAATGGATACAATCTTAATAAACTTTAATTAAGAGTATTTCGGTTTCTTCTGTTATCAATAGAATGATATAAAGCCAGTAATTGTATTATCTCTAAGTAATGTCGTCTATAAATCTCAAGGCTGGCAACTTAATTCTCATCCAAGTCTCATTAAGTTCGGGGACAATGTGAATAATATTATACAAACACAATATAAATCCGAGCAGCCGTCACTACAAAGGGAAAATCGGCAAAGAAACTAACAAAAATAAGTAGGCACAAAGTGAAATAGATTGCCGTACATAGTTAAAGGAACATTCAATTAGGGTTCATGAAACTTCAAAGCAAACACAAAAGAGCCATTCTATCTTTCGTAGTTGTTCAAAGCCAACAAATAAACGAAATATCCGTCAAGGATAATAAACGACAGTCTTCTAAGTAATCATGCCTCCACCAAACATCAAATTTTGCACAAAGTTTTTAATTACAATTATTATTTAAGATTCCAGTTTATTACTCTTTGATGTATCACTTAATGAGAGCTCCAGAGTTTTGAAAGTTTGCCACTGAAGAATTATGACTCGACTGTAATTATTTTTCTTATGAAGGCGCTTTATTGTATAAACTTTTATATGGAAATTGAATGTAATTAAACTTTAAAAACAATAATATTATTGTCGTACAAAAACTGCAACATGACGACAGCGTACTTAAAATTAGAAATAAAAAGATTCTATTTATAATATAACAGAGAAATAAATAATGTTTTACAAAATGGATTAGAACCCACAAAGCGAGTTGCGAACAAAGAAATAATAAAAACAAAATACGAGACAACCGCAGAATACCAACAATAGCACAAACTTTGCCGCAGACAATAAATAATTTTAAGTTTGTTTTCAATTATTTTGTCAATCGAAAATATTTTTTGTTGAAATCATAGAGGTAAAAATAAATGATTTTCCCGTATTTGCATTTTTATTGATGTTTATTTATTTGTTTGCATAATCAGGTTTTTGATTGTTCCTATAAAAAAATTCAATTGAAATGGTGAAACGGTGAACGAAATTACGAGACTTACACCAGGTTTCCGAAAGGCCGATCAATGTTAAAATCAATTTAATCTCTTGTCAAGTCATCTGATTGGTTGACTGAATTATCAACAACCAATCAGATGACTTGACAAGAGATTTAACAGGACATTAGTTAATTTTAGCGTTGACAAGCCTTTCAGAAACCGGGTGTTAATTTATCTTCTCTTTGATTTCCTTAAAACTTATTGTATTTTAAATATTTGGAATTTCCTTAGGTACAAAACACAGATTGAGTATGACCACAAGAGGGTACCGCCACACTGTGAGTCTGATGGTGATGGAGATGTCCAGAGAAGACGCGGGAGCATATCGGTGCCATGTGGAGAACAACCAGGGCAGGGCACAAGCTGAGCTATTTTTGCATTGTAAGTGAATTATATCGATTAGTGCTTTAATTTCTTTCTCTTAATTAATTTCTCTTCATCTTTCAACGAAAGTCATTTTTGGATTGAATAATCACTGACTTGTGTTGTGTTCAAATTGTCTTAAACACATTTTTTTTAATCCCAATCGTAGCATCAATGTTTTTACGGTATACAATATTTTTATCGTTATTTCCTGAAGTTAATGAGTTACTAAAACAGGACAAACGGTAAAAAAAATAGTGGGTCCGTGGTCTTTGGCGACTAGATTCTTCTTTTGGGAAGTGAAAATTACTTGTTATTTTTCTTCTTCTCAAATAATATCTTTTGACTTATTTCGTTACTAGATCCAAGACAGTCATTCATGTCATTGGGACGTACCAGACTTTAGTATTTCAGTGTTTTCATGGTTGTATCTACTATAGATCACAGGGCGCTTGTCCCATATAGAAAATCACAAGTGTTAATATTTTAACTGTTAAAAATCTCTTACCAAACAATGTTAAGATATTACCCTAGATCTATGTGATGCACTGCGCATTCAAAAGTGCAGACAGAGGTAAGACGTTACGTCCTAACGGGCTTTTAGTCTACTTCACTTAGTCTGAATTTTGTGCATCGTAAGCGGTCGGATTGAATTTTAAGTTGCTTGGCTCTCGTTTCGGATTTAAGAATATTCTTACTTGTTTCTGTTCTATTTAAGCTTCTTATGTCTCCAAGACTCCGTTGGTAGACAGGATAAGAATAGAATCATACGGATTGCAATGCATTTTTACTTGTGGAGAATTTGATTTGGCTTTATCGATTCTCGAACAGTTCTAAGAGCCACAATTTAGTTTATTTATTACAGAGACTGTTTTTTTAAAAACAACTTCAATTTTGTGTTAAGCCCGGAATCTCATAAAATTGTCGTCTCTTATGAATGAATTTTTTAGAACAATATTTATTGTAAAGAATTGGCTACGTCAGTAATTAGGTGTCTTCGGAAAATGACGTATTTGAGCAATTATTATCCTAAAGATTCAGCCGAGAATAAAGTAGCAAGTGCAATAATACGGCTTTTAGTAGGAGAAGGAACAGGGTAGTTTTTATTCATTAGAAATCTGACTGTCCGAATAAATCATCGCGCTTTGATGATTTATTTTACCCACCTATACTAAATAAACTTATTGTTGTATAGTGTTAACGACAACAACGACCACGACTACGACAACTACGACAACTACAACAACAACTACTACTACCACGTTACCACCGCCGACAACAACGCTGTTACCATGTGAGTATTATATTTTTACAATTGATCTTATCTAGGTTTTGCCTTTAGAAGGTAAACTAAAACAACCAAAACCTCGCTACCATCTTCGACAACAACACTGTTACCATGTGAATATTACATATTTTTTACAACAAATCTTACCTTAATTGGTTAACTACAAAAACTATAACAACAACCACCACTACTACCATAACTTAACAAAGTCATTCCAGTATTACTTTATTGTAACTGATTTAACTCAAAATCACCATTATCGAGTTGTTGAGGTCAAATGGCTCTTGTTCTATGTAAAAAACTGACCCCAGAAGATGCTTTTTGTATTTGAAGTTGTAAAGAATAGTACTATTTCACTGCACAGATATCGCAGTAGCTAGGCAACAAGCTGCAGTTTCGATACCCGCACGGAACAACTCTGTGTGTGATCCACAAATTGTTGTTTTAAGTCTGGGTGTGATGTACATATTGTACCTACATGTATGTGAAATCTCATGTTTGTTTTACACAAAAAATACCGTTTTAAGGAGCAAAAAAGAAAAAAAAGAATTTGTCAATTTCTCCAAATAAGTCAGTGCTTTGAGTTGAAGATTCGTTTATAATAATGATAGATTATTCAGATGACCGTATATAAATAAACATTTCTTAAAATCAATTGCGAATTTAAAATGAGTATGTCAATAGTTGACGTTGAATAAAATATCACCAATTCGAAAAATATTGATTTAGTCCCCGAAAGCAATTATCAAATTGGCGAGACAGCGCTAATACCTTAAAAGCTAGTAGGTATTCGCAACTAAATCTAAACCAATTTATCATCATTCAGTATAATTGATACAAATTAATGCAATACTAATAACAGTTATTCTAATTTTAACTCTTTTACAAATAAAATAGATATCAAAGTGACTTTAACTGTTTACTAATTGAGACATAATGAAATAATGTTTAATGGTTTGAACGACTAGAACTTGGTCTTGATAGATGTTGCTGAAGACAAAAGCCGAAAATAACTTTATTCGTGGAAGTTTGGCAGTTTGTTATAGTTTCGATCTTTTTAAGGATGGAGGATGAAATATATTTTTAAACCTTACTGTATTAAGTTTCCCAATTAATAATGGTCTATAAAAAGATATGAAAACGGCTTTGTAAAACGAAAGGCGCAAAAAATCCAAATAAGTGAGTATTATGAGTTAAATGTGTTGTGGTTAATTGAAGTTTGTTTTTGTCTAGATGACACTGAAAGACATTTGGAGCAGCTGCATCGCGGAGTGCTGGAAGATCCAGGTCTCGACAACCCGTATATTGTTCTGAGCCAACACCAAATGCAGAACCTTGGTAAATATTCATCAAACATACAATACACGTCATACCTGTCTACCATGCATACATCTACATATATTTCCATCGTATGACAAATTCATCTCAACATGATCGGCATTTTCACATTATATAGTAACGAAAATGAAATTTACATACGAAAGTAAAAAAAAGACGTGACATTTAAACATTGAAACATTTCTTTCACAAAGAAAAAGTTTCGTCCTACCGTAGGTCTTAAAAGTTTTAAAAGCATAATCGGATAACACGAAACTTTCAATGTTAATTTAAGTGAACGATTTTCAAACAATGTTTTTCCCAAGTGTGATAATTTTGTGCCTACTTATCGGCTTTTTGTCCTAAATGTCCTTCGACATTGTAAATAAGTGCTTCGTATGCGAGGCTTGTGTCTACATTGTGTCAACTAATTTGGTTTTCTCTATCAATATTGTCTTTCGTCTATATTTTTGGACGAGAAAATAATTTGTAAGGGTAGTGACAGGGTTTGTATCCTCAGAAATGGTGACGACGATGTGACCTCCGGCGGGGGCGCGCGGCCAGTGGCGCGACGGCTGGCCGCCGCTGCACGACCGTGCGAGCCCCAGCGCTGCGAGCTGGACCTGCCTCGTCCTTGCCTTCGCGATAGTGCTCCAAGCGTGACATTGAACAAACCAGTGATAAACCAAAGGTTGTTAAAACGGCTTTCATCATACAAGATATCGTTTGTGACGTAACGTTACCCACCGTCTAGTATCCACGAAACTATGACTTTGTAAATTGTAATTGTAATATTTAATTAAACAACGACTGCTGATCACAATTTTGTATTGTTTACTGTATATATTTTAGGGTCGATTATAGACGTGGCTGTAAATAATTTTGCACGAAGATAGTCATATCAATTTATAGGACACGATTATAAATAAATTATTGTTAGAAGCGTCAGATGTTATCATTGTGTGGTTTCTGACTTGTGCGGAAATTACTGGTTCCTTTTCGAGTTTATGAAGAATTCTTAGATTTAATTTTGTCAGAAATATGAGTGATGTGAAGATGAAGATCCAAAACAATTAAAGTCCTTTTTGTTATGTTCTGGAAGTATTTAGAATGTTTGAATGCTTAGAATGTTATTTTGTGAAATAATATTTGAGGTGGGTGTGACATTTTACGTACCAATATTTTTTTCCACGGCATTTGAAGTTTTCAATCATTTAATGAAGAGATTTCTTTTATTGTGACAGTCGATTGCCTACATTATAATGTCAAAGTTCACCGTTTAAGGTCCACCTATTTTCCTAGGCACGTCTCGCATTGCTCCCTCGGCAACAAAGTAGAAATATTCCTTTAAAGGACCGTTTTCATTTTCACCAAAATTATTATCTTATTTTTACGTCACTCCATAATATCTTCAGACGTGATTTGGCATGTTACGTGATGGATGGTCCCAAACCCTTTCTAAGTTCAGAATAACATCTTTCGTTTCCTTATTTTAAGGAAATTACAGTGTCCAAGAATAATACATCCATCTTTTGGGTAAAAAAGAAAGAAAGATTTTCTCTTTTTATAAATAACCCCTGAGATTGGTGTACACACCTATTTGTAAATTCCTATGTAAGTATAATGTAAAGAATTAAATTGTATTGAAAAATGTTCCGTTGTAAAATATAAAAGTTTGGGAATTGTGAAGCTGTTTGATTTATTTACTTTATAAATCACTTTAACAGACTATATAGCGCTCGTAAAATCACACGAATTAAATTGTTGGAAACAGCCAACGAGTTTAAATCCACCATTTTGACGTCACATGAGGTCGAGTTTACGTGTGCCAATTTGAAAGAGAAGTGGAATCTCAACGAGTGCGTTCACCGTAATAGGCTTGCTCCAATCGCATGAAGGATTTCCTTTATACAAAATTTTAAATTCAAAAAAGGAACTCAAAGCACAGCGAAAATAAAATTGCCATTTATGAATAATATAATTATACCCTCAAATTTTCGATTGACAGCCTTATTTGTCGAGTGGTCGCCAGCATGAAATGTTAGGTTTGGAGTAATTTTTGGAAACTGCTGAAATGGTCCTCAATATGATCAGTGAAAATCATACTTAATATGCTTACACTACGTCGACAAGTAAAAGCAATGTATGTATATTATACTGTTATTTCTTTCCTTATTATTATACTATTTACACACAGTACCTTCCTTTTTCACAATTTATAAAATGTTTGTATAAAGTAATAAGTTGTTCTTGTCCCCGGCAACTTGCTGTGAAATGAAACCACTGAAAACCGGAATCGCAAACACGGCGGCAGCTGAGTAAATACTACTTACACTACGAACACGGTAAAATATTTTCATGAAAAGCTTTTATTTTCATTCGTAAGAAGGCTTATGTTAATTGGTTATTGTTCTCATTTCGTTCCTCCAATTTATTATTCAGTTGTTGCTATTAAAACGTCTGCAAAATCTTCATAAATTGATTGATGTACCTACGACACACATGTACCTTGATGATAACTTAATGTATCTTGTAATCCAAAGGGACATTTTATTAAAATAGCATTTAAGTAACACTCAATAATCCGCTTCATTCTTAGCTAAGCGCGGCCCTTCAATAAAGAACCCCTAGCAGTACAAATTACATCTTCTCGGACGTGATTCATACGCCAGATTGGGAGGCTCCCTATTTCCCTAATCTCCATCTTTTACTTAGCCCACTCCAGCCTCGTTTCGAATTACAATACTAGAATTAACAGTTTATAAATCTGCGATGCTCGCGATGATTGCTTTTGTATTACACTTTAGCTGGCTTTGTGATTCATCGTCTCTGTTCAAATCTGCGGAATCGGAGCTAATTTTGTTCGTTAGATTGGAGTAATATAAAGTTTCGGTTTAAGGGGAATTGTTACGTTTTTCGTCTGGATTTTATTTTAAAGGATAATGAATATTTTTTTTGTGCATTTCTTCGCATTTATTTGATAAACTACCCAGTTTAGTGACACAAAATTAGATATGCTAATATTTTTCATCTAATTTGTTGTCTTTTAGTATGATTACGTTATTGCCCATGGTACTTTTTCCTCCTCCGTCTCCCGGGACGCTCACAGAAATCATTAGATCCGCAAATCTGTGACTTTAAATCTAAACTTGCAACTGTGCTATTGCCTGTCCCATAACCGAATAAACGTCCCGCGCGCGGCTCCTAATTAATCTCCTGGGTGGTTTGCATTTTGTACGAAACTCTAGGTGGTAACATCGCGCATAAAATTACAATAAAACAGAGCTATCTGCCGTAATGGCGGCCGCGCTTATTTATAGCACCTGCGTCGATAAATTCAAAGATGTTGGATTCATGGATGTGTTGCTTTTATAGCTTTATTTTCATACTTGACTTGGTGAAGTGGAAGTAATGGCGGCGTACGTATGGGCTCGGGTGCTTAAGTGAAAACAGTACGTGTGTCAACATCAACAGAATTTATTGTTGGGGCTTTGTCATATATCGGTGAGTGACTGCGTCTTTATGTTCGAACCACTGATTACATCAACGAAAATAGGAATGGATACAGACGTTATATCTAATATGGTTAATATTATATGAAGTTTGACTCACAATTTGTTTCTATGAAGCCCTTTTCAGATTCATAATTTCAATCTCACCTCTCATTTATATTTTGCAATAATAAGTTTAAACATTACATGTAACACATCACAACTCTACCGTCTTAGTACACCTAAGACACGAAGTTTCTATTTAGCCGTGTCAACAAAATGAATAATTAAGCGGCTCCCGTTCAAAGTTCAGCGCCAAGTCGTGAATGCAATTAGTAGATGAGTGTTGACACAGGTAATATATTATCGTTGAGAGCCGTTCACGCCGTACACTCCAAATATACGTTTTCAAGGATCTCAAACGGTTCATAGGGTACATTTTTTCTTGTACAGATTTTACATAAATTTAAATCTAAGTAACTTCAATCAAAAAACCTTTATTAATTTTACAGTAAAAATGAAATGACAATAATTTATTGACCGACTTGACTTTTCTTTAATTTTTAAAAGGTTCAACTCATATTTTGTACTCTATTGTCATATATTTCAAAAGAACAAATGAAGTGATGTTTTTGAACAATTGACTCTTTGGGCTGTGACCTTTGTGACACAGGCACAGTGAAGAGAAACATTATTTTCTTTAAAAAAGAAAAAAAACCTAAGTTGGACAGGTGTCCCGCATTTAAATTCGGTCAGCTGAATATTTTTACATAATGCATGAGAAAACACGTCAAATGTTTCTGTTTCAGACAAGACTCAAAGAAACATTTTAATGCTTTGCTAAAAATGAAAAAAATGTTACATGGATATAAAATTACGAGATTTTTTCAGTTTTGAGATATATTCAGGAGACGAAGTATATTTCTTTATTTTAATTTTATAGATATCTATGAATGTATGTTTGTTACTCTTTCGCGCAAAAACAGCTGGACCGATTTGGTAAAAATTTGGTTTGTAGATACTCGTAGATACTCGTACCATAGATTAATTAACACATAGCATGCCAGGATAAAACTGAGGAACAAGTTAGCAAACAATCAAACTTGACATATTTCTTGAGCATCAAAATTAATGGATTAAAATTTATATAAAGATATATTTTCCGATTGAGAGACTATCTACTGTTGACCTTTCAAAAGTGTCAATTAGAACAAGCACAGGTCGTATATGATCTAATTAAAATAAATACTTTCATTTTATCAGTTCAGACTACATAAAATAATATAAACCTACGAATAACTAACGTCATTCGAACAATAACGCTGCCGCATAGAGAAATATACCTAAATACCAAAAAGCGTTGTCAACTAAAATGTTGGCGTGACCAAACAAAGCTTTAGTATTGTCCCATTGCTTTTACCTGAATTACGTGCAAAATAAATTACATTTAGCTAAGTATAAAACGTCTGATAAAAGATAACATTGTTACGGCGTCCATTATCTCGTCTTTGTCTCTGAGTAAGTACTACAGTAATTACTTGTTATAGCTACTAAATAAAATAATACTCACAATGTACCTATAGTGTAGCTACTCGCACATAAACCTACTCCAATTCGTCAAAATTGTTCATTAAGCTTACAACTTTATAACAAAACGATAAGGTTGATTATTAAAAAAACGCAGCTTCAGGTGATTTTGCCTACGCCTATTTATCAGAACAGAATGGGATTATAAGAATCTTGAAGTAATTTAAAAACACTAAATACAATATAAGCCCTGCGAATGGAGACTTGAATCGATATTCAATATAACGCTTTTGAAATTGAATACAATTGAATCGATAAGTATCCCGGGCGGTATCATTACACTGAATGCTCATTATTTTATATTTTACCGTTTCATTGGACATGGAAATTGCTTGGGACAATTACTTATTATTCACAGCAGAACGAATAAAGGTTCATATCGTTATAAATTTTATATTTCCACATTATTATTAACATAATAATATCACATTTTTGTGTCATTTTCACTGTGAATCACATATGTAGAAAAAATATACATATTTCAGAGTATCTATAGTAAGAATGCTATACCATGCTAAGTTATTTGGTATCAGAAAATGATGATTGGTACAGTACTATTGTTTGACTTTTGAGGCGGTTAAAACCTATTCGAGATAATCAGCTTCATTACAACGAATGTGTATCAATACTGTAATCAGCTTCATTACAACGAATGTGTATCAATACTGTATCTGTACTAAGTTCAGTAGCTTTTTAAAAGGCTTATTGT